CTGTAGTCACTAGGTTCAGAGGCGGTATTCTTTTTAGCGACAGGAATAATCACAGCTTTTTTCCACTCCGTTGGAAAACACGAAGTTGTGAAGCAGTGATTGATTATATGTGTGAGAGTTCCTAGAATGAATGGCAGCACAAGTTTCACAAACTTCAAGGATATACCATCATCACCAATAGCATTAGACTTGACGCTCATAATTGACTTCATAACTTCTGCTTCTGTAACTCCAATAAATTGAAACTTTTCTCTCAGTGGAAAATGGCTATTGAAGTTTTGAGTTAGAGAACTGACGCGGCTTTTGCAGGCGCCAATAAAATATTCATTTAGAATGTTAGGGTCAATTTTACACTCAGTTTTATGTTTTCCATGCACATTAAGGTTTCCCAAATTGCGCCATAAGTNGTTAGGGTCAATTTTACACTCAGTTTTATGTTTTCCATGCACATTAAGGTTTTCCAAATTGCGCCATAAGTCTTTTGATGGTAGTGATGGGTTCAACTTGGAGTTACAATACAACCGTTTCGCTTGTCTTGCAATGGTGGTAGCTTTATTTCAAGCAAGGGCAAGTTTGTATTGCGACCAAGCGAAGTCTGTGTTGGTTCTTTTCCATTTCGCATATAATCTATTACGAGCTTTTATAGCTGATCTGACATTACTATTATACCACGGACAAGAGCTATTCAAAACGCGAACAGTACGAAGAGGAACATGGATATCAAATAATTCAGACATAGTTTCATTTAAAAAGTCAAGTTTGGCATCTACCTACTCAACAAACCAACATGCATCCCAGTCAACATTTAACAGATCATCAGTCAGATCATTAACATTTACAGAAATAAAATCACGATACATAGAAGTAACACTATCAGCAGGACAATTAAACGTTACATCTAGTGCAAAAAATATTAGGTCGTGGTCGGAGATTAAACTTATTTGGTCAAATTTAAGAATATGGTCGAGGCTTGACGTGATAATGAGGTCTAACAAACTAGGACATGAATTGTGCTCAAATCTTGTTGGTATGAATTTGTTAACTACAGCAAGACCTGCAGCAGATACATGATCCAGTAGTTTATTGGCATATGAGTCATTCATAAGCAAATTGACATTGAAGTCACCACATATAACAAAACGCTCATACTCAATAATAAACAAAGACACCTCAACAAAAAACGAATCTAACATACAACATCTATGAGGGNTTCTATGAGGGTTGTATACACAGGACACTAGTATTTTTGTTACATTATCTGAAATTTCGGCAATAATGAATTCTGTATCAGTGTTTTTTGATGTTGCTACCCCTTTTATGTTGTTCGATCAACACGAGTAAGACTGTAGTTTGGTATACAATAGTAAAAATCAGAAACATCAGTATTAAACCAAGTTTCTGAGACGCAAATGACATCTATATCCGATTCACCAAATATATCCCTAACATAATCAAGTTTTTCGCTGTTCAGGCTCCGC